CATACCGTAACGGTACAGACCAGAACAAGAACCGACCTCTCTCACATAGTACAAGATAGCGCAGCGGGAGGCTAAAATACCAATGATCCGAACAATCAATGTCGCAATGCAGACCAAACATACCTCATCATCATTCCATGGTGTGAAGGGGCCTGACGCTCACACAGGAAGAATGCGCCAGTCCCCAACCATACACAAACGAAGAAGAGGGGTGTTAGACGAAGAAGAGGGGAGGCAGGCAATATTATACAAGGATTACCAAAAATTGAACAGCTTTTACAAGCACGGCGCGAAAATGTAGTAGAGCTCTTCTTACTGCTGTTTTTATGTTAATGCATTTTTTAATGATTCGAAAACAAGGTATTTCAGGACCTTTGTAAATAAAATTCATTATTTCATTACACATAGTCTCTTTATTTTTTCCAAAAAAAATAATAAGACAGTATAGTATCATAAATAAATCAGACTTATACATAAGATGGGAATGTCGTCAACATCAAGTCTTCGGTACACGTGCCAAATAATCCCTCGTCAAATTTCTGAATCCCAATGTCGAGTCTGGATCCAAATGTCGTCAAGTCCTAAAGTCACCAATCTCTCTCTCCTGTAGTCTGCAGATACTGAGAAGTCAGGTAGAGAGAGGGTGAAGAAGAACTCTCTCTCTCTCTCTCTCTCTCTCTCTCTCTCTCTCTCTCTCTCTCTCTCTCTCTCTCAGAGTCCGGTACTAACCTGTAAAGGTGGCGCCTTGTTGCAGGTACATCGAAGACGAAGGTGGAGCTATGGCGCCACAGGTAAGTCTTCCTGGCCTCCGCCAACCATCTCTCTCTCTCTCTCCAATGCTACTCTAGCTCCTACTAGCGCCCAGCGCTGAAGACTACTGCTAACACTACTACTACTCCTGCAGCGCTCCTCCACAGTGCTACTGCCAATTTCTGAAGACTACCTCCTGCCTCCCTCCTCCAGCGCTCCTCCACAGTGCTGCTGCCACTTCCTGAAGACTACCTCCTGCCTCCTGCACGTGAAGTGCCTGAGAAGTTCATATGAACTGCCTCATGACTACCTGCAGCCTGCAGGGCGGCCCAGTCTTATATAGTGCTGGCCCGTCCAGGAGGCTGCTCTTGCCAATGCCAAAACGTGCCAGACCCTGGTGTTGAAGTTCAAACAAGGGTTGTCTTGAAAACAGGCCCAAAATGGCCTGTGCTAAAACCCGGGTCTGGTGCATAAGTTTCAGGGCAGGTGTCACGGACTCCCCCAGGGTTCGATCCCTGGTCTATCTTTTTGCTGTTTCGGCTGCATCCCGTTTTCGGCCTGGCACCCTTTTTCCAAACCCCTCCTTTGGTACCGTAAGATTTTGGACAACTGGCGCCATACTGCAATTCGGGCGCCACTTTCAAATTCCATATTTTTCAGTTCTGCCCTTGGGGCTTTGCAGATTTGCCCCCGGTACTGTACCGGACACCCGATACTTATACCGGTGGCCCGTACAGTACGGGGACCAGTCTCGTACCAGTTTTCAGCTTCTGTACTCGTACTCAGTGGGACTTGCTCCTGTTCGGCATTCGGAATCCAAGACTTCGACTTTGTGTCCTTGCCACTGTGTCTGCGTCCGACCCTCAGTCGTGTCGAGTGCGTGAGTATGTGTGTGTGCTCTCACTCTCTCTCTCTCCCTCTCCTCTCCCTCGGCTCTCCCTGTCTCCCTCAGCCTCGCGCTCGTTACACTGGTATCGGAGCAGTTCGCTCCCCCATCGCCGCTGTGATCTTGCCGCTGCCGTGACCTTCGTTGCTGCCTAGATCCCCGTCCTCGTCACTGCAAGGTCAGCAACAATTTCTTTTTTTTTCTTTTTTCTTCTTCTTCTTCTTCTTCTTCTTCTTCTTCTTCTTCTTCTTCTTCTTCTTCTCCTTCTCCGATTGGTTTCCCCCCCGTCGTCTCTTTCCCCCCACCTGACTTACTTCCCCCCGATTCGCTATCCTCCCCCC